TACATAGAATTGTTCTCACCTTCCTAGATATGGACGGAGGTGGGAGGTCCTAGGTCTTACCACAGGGCAGAAAACCCTGACTGCTCTTTGGACTGGAGAGGGAGGGGGAAAGGAGTGGGGGGAGGGGGAGAACGGTGGGAGGAGGGGGCGTAGGGTGGGAGGAGGGGAGGGAAATGGGAGGCTGGGAAGAGGTGGAAACTTGTTTTTTTTTTTCTCCTTTTCTCAATAAAAAAAGAAAAAAAAAAAAGAATTGTTCCCTGGTTTTTTAGGACCCCAGTATTATGTGGCCAGCTAACCCGGCACACAGTGAGGGTTTAAACAGAACAGGTGAGCGCCTGCATGGTGCTCCCCTCAGCTCACCTGGGTGCTGCTCTGGGCTTCCCCACATCAGCCCCCAACACATGCTAGTCAGAGCGAAGAAAGGGTGGCGATAGATGACAGGGTGCCATTGAGGTTGTGGAGAAGGCCACTGTCCATGGATTGGCCAATGTCCACAACTCCTGTGCTTTCCAGGGTTTCCTGAAGTGGGGTGAGGGCTTGGACTGCTAGTCAGAAGGCAGTCGGATGGGCCACACCTAGAGTGCTCAATGGGTAGAAAGGGGACAAGGTGGCAGATGGAAGGGTGGATGCTGGTGTATAAGAGTTCTCAAGAAGAACTGAATCTCTCTCTCTCTCTCTCTCTCTCTCTCTCTCTCTCTCTCACACACACACACACACACACACACACTATTATATTGTTTTATGATGATAGGGGCTGGGTGGTTCAACAATGGCCATCTGCCTGTTGGGAAAGCAGAGAACCTAATTGCCTCTCAGGCCAAGAACCTGGATACCTTAGCAGCCCTGACCTGGTGCAGAAAGGCCACACGCTCCCTGGACAGTCGCTGGTGTGTCAATGCTCAGATGATGAAAGAGGCTGAAGCTTTGATGCCAGCAGAGGGGCAGCTGTAGTGTTAGATGGATTTACTCAGAAAGAAAAAGGGAGGGAAAGGCAGGGGCACACAGTTTTACCCTGGACCTCTTTATATCTGAGCCACTCACTGGAAGTTTGACACCCACATGGAGGACAGGTCATTATCCCTCAATTCTGTCTGGAAATACCTTCACAAACACATCAAGAAATGTGTTTTCTAGATGATACCGTTGACAGTCACGACCAGCTTTTATAGATAAGTCAGCTGACGTCACCCACAGGATACGGCTGGGACTCCTACAAGACCTTGGAGAGGAGCAAGTGTAGAGCCCCATTGTAACCTAGAAGTGGCAGCTTGGGGGACAAGAGTTGCTCTGTCAAGGACAGTAGAGGGCTGAACACACTCCCCCCAATCTCTCCAGCAAGCAAAGGCTCTAAAAGCTGACCAGAGGCTTTCTTCAGGGGCTGAGGTCTGCAGTGGATGATAGGATATAGGGCTATATGTACTTGAACCCTGAGAGCCTCTCCTAACTTTTGCTCTTGAAGAAATATCAGGCAATGTTGAAAGGGTGTAATGATGAAGTTTGGTACTGCTTCACCAGGAGACCTCGCTCCTTAGCAACAGCCACACCTGCTTCGTGGCTCTCCCCTGCTCTGACACCCTATATGTTCAGCACACATTTTTTTTTCAATTTTTGTTGGTTCATTTCATTGTACTGGTGATGGTTTTTTATCCTGACATGCCTTCTCCAGGATAACAGAAATATCATGATCACACTGAAGAAGTTAAATTAAAATGTCACCAAATTATGCCTCTTAATTCATAGTCTACTATTTTTCCTGATAATTTTCTTTCTAGTTTGTTTAATTGACGGTTCAATCAAGAACCGCGCATGGCATCGAGCTGTCGTATTTCCGTGGTCTCCTTTAATGTAGAACAGTACATGCCTCTTCTTGACGTGCCTTTCCAGCCTGTTCTACCCCAGCTCACAGGCACTGATGGAGAGCGCCTCAGTCCACTGGGCTTCCACTCTCTGACTGAAGCAGGGTCTTCATGTAGCTCTTCTCTGTCCCATCCCACCCACCTCTGTCCCTGTGCCTCCCTTTGCTGACTCCCTCTGCCTTCTGAGGCTTCTCAGCAGTTCTGTGTCTCCCATCACCCAGTGTCTCAGTACTAGAGCTGTGGGTAAGTGAGGTGGTGCCAAGTCCCCCATCTCTTTCCCCTCCTGCATGTTCCTCCTCTCCAGACATTCTCAGGGCCCCTTTTATCCCATTCTAGTGGCTGTCATTCTGACTCTCTGGGAGCCAGACCACCAACCCCTGTCTAGAGCCTCTCTCCCCCGCTTCTCTAGCACCTAGCACGTCCCTCCTCACCTTCACACCCCACCTAGCTTTCTGTTGTAAGAGGGGGATCTCTTTGACCTGGTAACCAACCCCTCATGCACTCTCCCACATTTTCCTTCTGCTGTGGGCTGCTGAGTTCGGGAAAGTCATTTACAATCCTTGCCAGCTGCTCTTCCTCCTCATCCGGGGATCTCTGCAACTGAGTGGGTCTCCCTCTCATTCTGTTGAAAACAAAGCTCTAAAGGTCACCAACAGTGTTCTAATCACCACAACCAAGGGGCTGTCTTCTTCGTTTAATGCTCTTTTGACTTGGGGATGTGACTCTAGCTACCGCGTTCATTTTGACTTCCCAGGTACGAGGAATTTGGTTTCCTTTCTGACTTGTGTTCATTTAGCTTTCATCTCTGTCCTTTGCCTCACTCCCCAGTTATTCCTCTCTCTCTCTCTCTCTCTCTCTCTCTCTCTCTCCCTCCCTCTCTCTCTCTCTCTCTCTTCCGGTGCTAACAGTTGCAACTGATGGACTATTGGTCAGGTGTGACCTGAGAATTTGTTTTGTTGAACCCTTTTAATATTTTTAAGACTGAAAATATTGCAGAAAATTCTGAATTTCAAGATTTTTTTGAAAAACAAACAAACAAACAAACCAGCATTGGATTTTACAGTCGCCAATTCCTGTTCCCCAAGACAGCAATCAGCTGGGGTTTCTTAAAGATAGGACGTTTGTCCTTCAGATCACCTCTGTTGTGTTGCTCTTTGTCTGCTCAGCACATGTAATGTACTGCGCATCTCCGGGCTCCAGATCACATCACCGCACCAGTGGCTCTTCAGTCACCACCATCTCCAGGCTGTACCCAAATCTCTGCTGCTTGCTCTGCTCTCTCTGCAACCCCAGGGATGTGGTTCTTCACCATTAATGGAGCATCTTAGCCTCCCTACTTCCTGTCCGTCAAACTCAGTACCAGGGTGAGGGGTGCCAGGGAACCATACTACTCCACGGTTGAGTTTTAGCCCAGTTGAGGACAGGAAGAGTTTAGAATATGGTATCACATTCACTTCACTGCATGGAGGGGGATGGTGGGGAGCTGGCATCTTTGGGTACAAGGGAAAGAGTGGCTCTAGGCTGGTGTTGCCACAGAGGCAGGTCTGGACCCTTACTGCACATTCACCTACTGGCTGGGGTGGGACTGGGGAGGTGATGCTTGCTTCGCATGCCCTCATGTGTATGGAGGATACATGCTGAAGGGTTTACCCACTTCTTGTTTAAATCCATGCACCACCGGCCTGCAGGAGTGGAGGGGATGTATGCATGTAGTAGGAGAGGGGCCAGACCACAGGCGCCCTCCTTATCATTTCCCAGGATGTGGGAAAGCTGGTGGCCATTGCTTTTTGGAGGGTTGGAAACAGGATTGAAGAGAGGATGAGAAGGGCCTGGGTCCTCCCTTCGCTCCGAGGTCGGAGCTCACCCCTGTTTCATAACTGCGCTCTTCTGCTCACTGGTTGGGTGAGAGCATCTCCCATGTTGCCGGTGTTTAATTCCATACCCTCTGGACTCTGTGCTCTGCATATGACAGTCCCTCTCTTCCAAATCATTGCCGAAAGGACGCAGGCTCTCATTTCTTTCATCTAGAGTTTTATAGTCATTTCTCGTGTTTTGTTTGCTGTCTATTTTGTCCCCTGGCTTTGGGTCTGTACCTTTGTCCTCCTTCTCCATTCCCCCTGCCCAGTGGTGTCAGATGCATGCCAACCTTATGTGCAATTTTCTTATCCATAATCTCTAGATTCCAGTTTTGGAGAAAGGGCTATTGATAAAGGACGTGCATCTCCTCTAAGACCTTCTGTGACTCCCGGTTTTAAACCTCACTGGTGTCTGCTTGCTTGTAGACATGCATTTTCTCACACAGCATTTATTGAGCACCTGCTGCATACCAGCCACACAAGAAAGACACACAGGATGCAGTCTTGCCTCCATGATTCCTATTCTTTGCACAGTTTCTTACTCGATTCTGTTCTCTGGAATGTTCTTCTTGGCTAAAATATTGCTTTTAAGTTCTTCCGGGGTTCGGATCAGAGCCTTGCGTGTATGATTTCTGTGCTGCACCCCCAGCCTTTGCTGTCCCTTCTTACACAAAGCCTTCTCTCTTCCATCACTGAAGAAATGCTTCTGGCCCTCTTTCTCCTTTGCTGGGTTTTTAAAAGCAGTCCTCCTATAAGATGACGTCTTGTTTACCGGTTTGATCTCCTGTGTCTGGCTATATTCTTCTTGAAGCCCATGGCTGCATCTCCTTCAACCTTGCTCCCCATAGTGCTGTGAAGTCCTGGCTCAAATGAAGAGCTTTCTAGGTGCCTGTCTATAAACCTTCATCTTCTTTGAAGTAAAAATTGAGAAAAATCCAGAGACAAAATTTTTAAAGCACAAATAAATTGAGTATGATCCCGTCTTGCTAAATATAGCTGCACAGGGACAAATATGTCATAATTAATTAACTGCACATCGTGAGCCTCCTACAATCTGCTTTAAAACAAAACACTATTTGATAGTTTTAAGAAAACATTTCTTCACATCCTCCTTCTTCATTTCTGTTACTCTCAGGAACCAGTTGTTTTTTTTTCTTATTGATTTTTCTTTTCTTTTTTTCTCTTTCTTCTTTTTAACGATGGCAAGAAAACACCTAAAGCCAGAGCTTCTGAAAGAGCCATTTGTTCTCACCCACTTAGATTGCTCTTCAAACTTGACCTTGGCTTCTCAGCTAACCTTGGATTTCAGAGCCGAGTCTCTAAAGACAACCTTGTTGATGATGGTTTTGTTGAAGGGAATGTCCACAGAGGACCTTGTGGGCATGAGGAGATTGTAATGACAAACTTTCACAGAAGGCTTGGTCTTTGGTCTCTTGGCGATCAGATCTGTAGTGACTACTGTCATCCTGTAGAAACAGTGATCAATTCCGGCCACCAGAGCATGGCTATAGGGCTGGTTTGAGGTGCCACCGTCACGATGACAGCTTTGCATTCAGAATGGAGATCAACCAGGACCATCATCACTTTTCTGGGTTTCCTGAGCTTGCCCATTTCGACCGCAACCAGCAGGAACACAACAGACTTTGTTCAGATGCCCACTTTTTGCCCATGCATCCATCATAGTCCTACTGAATTACTGTTGTAAAGACTGCTGTATGTTATTCCCAGGCCCACAGGGCTCTGATAATTGCATCAAGTCTCTCTCTGGTCCTCTAGTGACCTTCATAGTCTTCTCCAGTGACCTCTCTCTCCCAGGCGATGCATGGTTCTGCCTCCCCTCAGCATAAATCCAGATCAGTTGGACAATGCCCTCACTCTAGCTGAGGGGCTGTCCATTCTCTAGGTGGGAAAGCATCTTTGAAAGCCTCCACTCCAACTCCTTGCATGGATTTGTTAACCACCTTTTCAGAATGAGATCTTTCCCTCACCCCTAGCATGCTCCATGTGCACAGCCCCAGGCACCCAACTTTCTGGACATGGAGGTGATGTTTGGAAATCTGCATTTTGATAATGATCTACCAAAGGACCCACATATGCAACAGCCTATTAAATAATGTCTGCAGGAGACTCTACAATCATATGGTGCGGTCTCATGATGCTGGGTGGTTATGTTTGTCTTCTATGTCCATCCTCTAGTCTGTACTTTGCCTAAGGGCAGGGCTATATCATTAGTCCATCTCCATTGGGGTTCAACCAGCAGGGCATCTTATACAGTAATAAGGTGAATTATTTAGCAAGTGTTCGTAGAGTAGATGAACGCTCATATGCCTTCCTGCAGGGGTGACTTTTGAGGAGATGAGACTCAAAAGGTCACAGGAGCCTGTCATGCAGGCTGAGAAGAAATTCATATGGAAAAAGCAGCTTTTAATTCCAGCATTTTGTGAAAGATACGGGCGATAATCAGACCTCTGTGGAGTCATTTTGCTTCCAGGGTCAAAATATTCCTCTTAGAGTGAACTGTTTCCAGTCTGAGAAAATGCTCATTTTTATATAAGATATTATAAGAATTCTCAGTACCTTATTATTTGGTTGTTTCCTTCTGGCTCCGATGATCAACTGGGTGTTTCTAAAATAGAACGCTTCAGTTCTTCCAGAGACTAGTCCCTGAGGTTGCTCTGGCAACCACCTCAAAAACTCTGGAGTTTTAGCCCAAGTCCCCCAACTTCTCAGGTTCTGGCTGCCGTGTTGTTTGCTGGCAGAGCTCTGATTGAAAGGCTACCATTAAGTCACATTAATTACCACGCCACATCACCTAAATTGCTTTCAGAAAAGCCCCAGCACGCTTAGCACCTTTGTTACATATGCTCTCCTTGACCATACTGGTGTGAGGTTCAGACACAGGCAAATGCCATCTTTTGAGTGGTCAGGACTCATACACATCACCTGGGAGGCCTTCCTTGTTCTGGTCATTGATTTAAACTATAATCACCGTACACATTACTTCTAGAAAGTGTCCCTGGCTTTATTGAAAACCCAAATAGAGGAAACAGCACACATCTTTTGGGAAGTGTGTATAGTTTTGACTGTCACAGACAAATCTTTGCACAGATCCTATTTTTGTTACTGACCTCTGGCCTTGCCTTGATTGTTGGGTATCCTGTCCATGTATATGTGATGAGTGCCAGCCCAAGAACTGATTAAATCATTCTGTGTAGGCTATGGGCCCAGCAGACCATTCTGACCAAGTCAGTGGGCTATGTGACCTTGGGAACGAGACGTCAACTTCCCTGAACTTCATCTCCTAGAACATGACGTGGGGGGCATAAAGCACCTGTTTAATTATTGCAAGGAATAGACAACAGAGAAAACCACTCAGCAGCGAAAGGTACCGAACATAATCACTACTATTATTATCAGCATAATACACACTTAACCCAGTTTTATTGAAAGGAATGAGAAGAGCTTTAGTATTGTTTTCTTTTATCGGCACTGGGTGCTGAATCCAGAGCCCAACACATGCTAAGCCAAAACTCTACCACTGAGCTATTTCTCCTCACTTGTGAAATGTTTTTGTTTGGAGACAGGGTCTCACTAAGTAACCCAGGGTGGCCTTGAACTCACTCTAACAGGCCTTCTGGGGGCATTATCTATTTTATAGTCAGTGTGAAATATGTCTGTTTTTGTTACTATGGTCTCTCTGGGTTCTGTTCCTCTAATTAAATGCAATTTTGAAAAAATGGGTCTATAGCATATAGACTGCATGATACGTCTCCTACGAAACCTCAGCCTGACCTGGTCTCCCTGAAGCAAAAGCTCCAGACACCAGCTGAGAAGTCACATAGAAATCACATGAGCTGCTCTCATCACCGATATCCTTACTACTTCTGGAGGTGTCTATAGGAAGAATGTCACAAAAGCAGACTTTACTTGGACTCCTTAAATTCCTGAGAATCAGCTTCTTAAGGGACAAAATTTCCTTGGGCACCAGGGAAGGTATGGAGCATGGTGAGAGACTGTGGGGGTTAAATGACCAAGGACAGGTACTGGCAGATTCTCTTCATCCACTTCCCAAGCTGGGGTGGGCTGGGGTGTTGCCTGCTTTTGCGCCCCGGTATGTATGGAGGATACGTGCCAAAGGACTTGCCTGTTTCTTGTATACATTTCCAGGGTGTGGACTCAGGTCGCATGAATTCCTCCTGGTCCAGGATTCTGGCATCTGTGGGTAACTGAGAAACATTTGGAGGAGTTTGCAGATCATAGGATGACCTGGGCATGATTGATATTCCATGGAGAAGTGATTACTTGGATGTCGGGTCATCCCATGAATCACTTGGTTGATTATTATTGGACACCCACCCTCTGACTGTGACAGCGTTGACCCCGAGGGCTGTGGGTGCCACAGGAGTCTCACAGACTGTCGCTAACTTCTGATTACACTGTTAGCATGCTGACATTTCGCTTGTAAGCGGGTCACGTCAAGTGCAGACCTAATTTTCACCCAGCATGATGTCACCTAGACAGTGACAGTGGGCCAGGTAGTCCAGAGCATGCCTTCACACACTGCTGCTTGTCTTGCATGCATCCAGCAAGGGACTCCCTGGCTCCCATGCACCTTTCCAACCACTGCCTCCCACCAGCCTGTGTCCCAGCATTCCTTGAGACAGTGTGGGAAGTGAAAGCAACTCTGGTGTCATAGAAAACATGACGTTTTGGTTCCCTATGTTTCTTGCCTCCTTTGCAGCTTCTGCCTGGCCACATCTTCTTTGTCTTAAGCACAAGGCCTGGCACACACCCTCTGTTTTCCTTCTGCCTGTGTGGCTGGTCTTTTCCCGGTGTCTTTTCCTGTTTTACTTTTTCCCTTGTTTCTCCAGTACTGGCCACACTGAGGACATAGCCCTGGGCTTGTTCTCAGCCTTCTTGCTCTCCACTCCCCCAGACATCAGCTCTAAGCCCAAGATCTAAGACTTCATTTTTATGACTCCCCCACAACCTCCAAAGCTCTCTTCTAGAACCGGCTTCTGCATCCCACTGTTCTGTGTGTCTTCCACGCACTTCAGACCCTGGCCTGTGCTGAGTGCATACATTTCTGTAAAAGTGTTTTTCCTCCTAATATTGCTCAAGTTTCATGAAGCTAACCAGGCATCTGCCCCGACCAGGCAGGCTTCAGGCTGCTGAGTGAAATCCTGAATGCTCCTCCCCAGTTCTTCCCCCCTCTTCCTCTCCGGTAATCAAGGAAGATTTCTTAAATGTCTTCCACTCTATCGGCGTGTGTCCAGCTACCTGTCCTGACCATTGCTATCTCTTGCCTGAACTTCTGTGAATGACAAGTGAGGTCAGAGCATTAATCTTCTCAAGCTTTGATTTTGGGGGCAGCATTTCCAGAGAATACCAACCTCCCAGCCCCCAAGTCCCCCAGATCCTCAGCTTTCCAGTCTCCCAGTTCCCCAGCCCCCCAACCTCCCAGGTTTCAACTCCCTAGCCCCCCCCAGTCCCCTAGCTCCTCAGTCCCCCAGTCTCCCAATCATCTATTTATTCCTTATGGCACCACCTCAAGCATGCCTTCCACACTGGGACATATGCCACACACAGGCAGGATGGCGTGTCTTTGTAGCACACAGCTTGCAGACCTGGAGCAACAGTAAATCCTGCGTGAGTGGGTGAGGTGGTGAACCTGTGTCCTGAGCTTTGCTTGGGATCAAGATGGCTTCTGTCCTCTGTATTGAGACCTCCAAGAAAAGCCAGTATCACTAGCTCCAAGAGTGGGGGGGGGGTGTTGGTGACTGAGGAAGACATAGAGGGGACGGGCTTCTTGGGGTAAGTAGCAGGATGAAAACCCTGGGAAGAACACAGTTGCCTGAGAACTCTCCAGGGTTGATACCTGCAGGCGAGTGGGACAGTACAATGACTTCGGGGATTTGAAGAGCTTCCTGGGGAGTTAAGAAGGGGATTCTGAGAGTCAAGTTTAAGCTTGAGTTGTGGAGGCAGGAGGGAAGACTCCAGGTAGCCTCCCTCTGCTATTGCAGTTGATGCCCCCGTGAGAAGTGGAGATGGAAGAGGAGAGGGATGGTTCTTTCCTGAAACACTTCAACATGGGTCACTGCTGGCTCCCTTTGGCGTGGCTGTTTCTGCCACAGGAGTGATGCTGGCTTTAGGACACTGGTTTATTCACAAGAGCGCCACCATCATGACCTAGTTACTCCCAAAAACTCCCCCTCTGAATATGGGCTCATTGGCCGTTAGGATTTCAGTGCATGGAATTGGGGATGGACACACTCCATCACAGTGGGTTTTCTGGCCAATGCCCACGTTAGGCCTTTCTTCTTCGAAGCTGCCATGCTTGTACTGTCTTGCACTTTATCACATTCTTCCTTGGATGGTATGTTACTTGTGTGCTCAGCTAACCTTCCTGATCAATTGTAAGGACTCAGGTCATGTGTGTGCCTGGCTTCCTGCTACATCTCTGCCAGTGCTTTAGGTGCCCAGAGCTTGAAGTCTTGAGCCAAGGCTCATTGAATCTACTCATATTCTTCCTTGTCCAATGACACATGTCTG